TCTTTTTTCTATTTCTTCATTGTTTTGTTTTCTAGTATCTGTTCTGATATTGCATTAATCCTGTTACTGCTTTTTTTTACTAATGTTTTTGGGACTGCTTTTATATTATTGTTCTATATCTTTATTAGTAATTTTAGTTGTACATATTAATATATTATATATTAAAGATATACTAAAGAGTGTGGCGACTTAGTGAAGTAGATAAGTTGTCAACCTCCCAAGTGGTAGGTTGGAAGTTCAAAACCTACTAATGGCAAAAATTTGGAAAACCACCTATATTATATCAGTGTATATGAGCATCTGTGCAATGCTAGAGTTATACAAAGGAATGCAAACTGGCATTGAGTAGTGCAAACACAATATAAGTCCTTGAAACTGGTATTACAGCAATGGCTATCTGTCGATCAGTTGGGATCAGTATCTGTAACATGGTTATACCAAATAACTGACAGGTCATAGGACATCTGTGGTTATGTAAATCCATGAACTGAGATAACTAAAGCCTACTTGGAAAGACCTAAATAAAGAGGTAACATGGATCTTCGACAGTATTACTATAAAGGCTAGATCTAGGAAACAGATACCAATGTAAAAGGAATTGGGCAGGCAAGAATCTCAGGTAAGAGGTACTACCAACCAGGCTGCCAGAAGTCTTGAACCAGAGGAAAAAGACCTTGGAGGCAGACTCTAAGGTACCAGAGACAGGTCACAGTCTTATCAGGCTATCTGAATTGGGAGTCTAAGGTTGGAAACAGGAGTATACTAAAGTACTAGAGATATGCTGTGAAATCAATGCTAGGGTCTAGGTAAACTTTGCAAGGGTGAGCCCTGTTAGCAAAGATTAAATGTGTATAGTTAGTTAGCAGAGGGTCTTCTGGAGCCTTATAGTCAAGTGACATACTCTGAAATGTGTAACAGCCTGACAGACATACAAACAGGGAGGTCAAGGTTAGGTTAGACAGCATCTAATTAGGTGTATGGGAGCTTGTACTGTTATCTACTAGTGTAGTATAGGGGTAACCTTATACAAGTTATGTAATTATAATTGAATTCACAATAAAGGCAGTAGCTGCCATAACTAAAAAGCCTTAATGAAAACAAAAAAAAAAAAAAAAAGATATACTAAAATTGTAAAATACAAAATAAAAACTATATGCAAGAATTAAAGTTCAGACAACTTTATCTGCAATCTAAACTGTCTACTTTATTAAGTTATCACATCTTTAAAATCAAAATATATAAATAAATAATCTTTTAATAAATTATAAATATAATAACTAATATAAAGTTTATAAATAAATTATCTAAATAGATAACTAAAAATTGCATATATAATATTTATCTTGTACAAGTTATATAATATATAATTTTAGAATGTAACAACCTAGTGAAGTGGTCAGATTGTTAACCTCTCAAGTGATAGGTTGGGTATTCAAATCCTATTGATAGTAAAAATTTAGATAATCATCTATATAATCTAGTATTATAGCAACTGTTTTTAATGATTAAGTTAAGATATTTGTAATTATGATCACATCAGTATGATTGGCAGATCATAAGTATCCATATAACTTGTTATACAAAGAAGTGCAAATCAACAAATCAGACAGTACAAACTCAAGATAAGTTCTTGTAACTGTATAAATCTGTAGAAATTAAAGAACAAAAAACCTATTTAAGAAGATCTGAATAGAGAGATAATACAGATTTTTAACAGTATTAATATAAAGGCTAGATCTAAGAAATAGATACCAATGCCAAAGTAACCAGATAGGCAAGAACTTCTGGGTTGAAAGTTTTAAAGGTACCACCAACCAGGTTACTAGATCAGACTGAAGGAAAAAGATATAAGGCTAACATGATATACTGATGAATTGGTTGTAGTTCTATATAGACTATCTGGATTAGAAGTTTAGTAAAAGAAGCAGAGATATACTAAAGTTCTAAAAATATGTTATAAAATAGGTACTGGAATCTAGATGAACTCTACAAGGACATAGCAGTTTAATAATTAGTCCTGATTGCAAGTGTTGGTTCTTTTATAGTAATATTCAGATCAACTGCAAAAATAGATAAACAGCAAGCTCTGGAAGGTTTATTTTAAGAATAACTGTCCTAAGGTTGAGACAAAGGATCCAGACTTGACTTGGTAAAGTAATATAGAACAAATTCAAAGAGTTTAAATAAAACATCCAAGCAGAGATGTTAGATATAGCAATTGGTAGGAAACATTAGGCAGACTTCTTAAATAGATAATATAAAAAGTTATATGAGTAACCAATTGTATACTTTTTTTGTAATAGCTTCTTACAGAACTACATTTCTAAAAATATGTTAATAAAATTAAAAGATTAAAGAGGTTACCTTAATACCAAAAAAATATATATATAATATATAATTTGGTTTAAATTGCAGATAAATTAGTCTAAGCTTCTATTCTTTTTATAATATTTTAAAAGTAAATTTGTACTTTATGTAAAATCTCAATTAAATATTCAATAAAGATAAAAGCATAGCCTTACCATTAATATTAAAAAAAAATAATATATAATTAAAAATACAATAAAGATAATAGTTGTCATTAACATGCCTTAATGAAAACAAAAAAAAAAATTAAATAAAAAATATATATATAATAAAATGTATTTTTGATACTTTTAATTAAAAAATCAAAATCAATTTAAATAACAATTTTTATATTCTCATATCTTTGTTTTTGTCAAGTTAAAATTAATTTAAACCACATATTAGAAAATTCTACAAGATAACAGATTTTAAATAATTTTTTATTTTGAATAAATAATATACATTACTTATTATTATATGGGGTCTTTGCCTTGAAAATGACCTTACGGAACATAGTAAATCATATGATCCAAACTTGATTTTCAAGGCAAAGACCCCATATATAAACAAATAACAAAAAATTGTAAAAAATTGTAAAAAAATTAACCAACTTTATTAACCAAAGATTCTTTTCAATTTGATTTTTAATTATTCTTGAAATTTTATATAAAAAACTTTCGAATGCAGGAAAATTTGCAAAATAATATTTAGAAATTAAACCAACAACCCTTTATTACTAAAATAAGCCTAGAAAGCAAAATTTTTTATACGTGTAAAATTTAGGTATATCGATCATTTAACCCATACGAATTAAAAATACTCATGTGACATATCGTGTATTTATTACTTTGTTTGTATACATTAGGGGCAAACAAAATTTTGTGTTGCATCCGATGATCGAACACAGAGAAATTTTAAGGTGGTAACACTAGCGCTAGTGCTACGATTCACCAATAATTCATAATTTTGGCCAAAATTTATCGGGGAGTTACGGAAATATAGACTATATTATGGAGAATTCCGGCATGCCGTAAAATACAGAAAATAGCAAATAACTGATAAGTAAATTTTTTAACGTTATTTTTTTTTAAAGTTTACCATTACTGATAAATCTACAGTTAAAAAAAACACTTTTGCATTTTGTGCTACGTTAATAGTCCTTTTCGCTTTATTCAGATAAAGTCAAATTAGAATGTATGATACTGATGGTGATTCGGCCACGATCGTATCTGAAGATGCACCTGGTGAAAGTTCACAAAGAAAAGTGAAGCGTGAATTAAATAATGATTACGAAGAAATTTTTGGTGGTGAATTATCAGATGTTGATACATGCTCCGTATGTGATCAATTCGATATCGAGATTACTTCATCGTTTCCTTCAATCGATGTAAGTGATCTCTTTGGATTTAAAACTATCAATGAACCGATTATCAAAGCTCTATATTATAAACTTCGTGAATACCGTCTTTACGAAACGATGGCGATATTGATCAAACATAATAAATTGAAATTCGAGAAATATGAAATACCTATAGTCGTTCAAGATATGATCAAACGTGGTGGTGTTAAAGATCTGAAACATGTTAGAAAGGTTTTTCATAAAGAAGTTGAACAAAGACAAAAATGGGCTAAATGAAGGTTCAGTAGAACGAATGGTTAATATTTGTTAATCATATTTTGGTTATTTGTGATATTCTCAATTTTACGTACAAATTTTGAATTTTTGGATATTCTTTCTATATTGTGATTTTTTTTATTTTTTTAGTTGATTAGATATGCATTGTTATGAACATTAATTGCATTGAGAAAAAGATATTCATTTATTTGTTTCTACATATCTTACTTTAATGGGATTATTATAAGCTAATGTAAATGTTCATACATCAAGTGTCAATAATAGGCGCTAAATTGTAACAAGTATCTATGATAGGAAAGGGGGGAAGGAGTCATGCATGCATGAACATTTTTTATCCTTAGGGATGATTATGTTTCATCAGTGAAGTAGTTTTATTCAACAAAGGGATGCATTAACTCTTTGGAACTACAATATGTTTCAAGCCTTCAGATTAAAAAAGATCACGAATATCAATACATTTTTTAGCATATGGAAAATTTTGATTGTTTATCTTAAATGGAGAAAGCATTTATGCGAGATGTAATTTTTTTGTACTATATAATTACTGTGTGATAATATCGTGATCTATTATCAAAAACATCATCCTTAGTCATATGATTACTCATGTAGTAACTTTTAACTAGTAACTATTAGATTTATAAACAGTTTTTTTTTAGAGGGGGATGATTACAGCTCAGAATACTTAAATTTTAGTGTTATTACTCTGTGCCTACCCTTTATATAAAGATTTAATTAATAATTAATTCTAATTAATGAATTAATAATTTTTTTTTTTGATGCTGTTTAAAACAGAAAGATATTTGATTATAAATGTAACAAAATATGATGTTATAAACATGATATAAAAGTGAAGTTATAAACATGATGTTAAAAGTTCATAAGTTTATTAAATAAAAATATCTATATATATATATACGAAAACTAAAGGTAGCAAAATGTCAATTGATCTATATCCATCATTTTATAAATTAAGTAAATAGATCAAATAAAAACAATCTTAATTAATCTTAATTAATGCTTAATTATCATTATGATAATGAACTTTGGGTTGATGTGTTGGCGAAATAGGAACAAATTCCATATCATCATCCACAAGTAAACCCTGTTTTTGTAAAGCAAAGATCTCCGAACTAGGACGAGAATGTGATCGTGTTGTATTAAACCGAAGTGATGGTGATTCAGGTGAAGATAAATTAGAACTAGAGTCAGATCCATTCTCATCATCATCAATTGGTTGATGTCTGAATGGTTCTCTTTCAGAACTACTACTGCTTTGATTTCGTGATTTACCCGAAGGTGATGCAATACGGCTATACCTTTTTATTCCTCGTCGACGACTCAGGCTGTTAGTCACACTGTGAGTATCTTTCGGTGAACTTGTTCCACTATGATTATCATCTTTTGATGGGTTTGGACGAGGTCCTATTGGTCGAGTTATTGGGCTTTGTGATGTAAAGGGTCTTGAAAATTCAATGCTTTCTGATGAACTAAGCCTAGATAATTTAGCACGTAATATTGCAGAATGTTCTACACCATAATTCACAGAATCTCCTCTGGATCTTGTTACGTCAGTAACTTCAGGTATTTTATCATCAATCTGAATTTCATATTCATCATTTATTTCACTCTCTTGATCTTCTTCAATAATCATTGAGTTTGTAACAGAATTTGTCGTGATACTATCTCTGATACTATCTCTGTTATTAGAACGGTTAGATCGACTTGACCTATTTGAATAAATTGATTCACGGCTTTCTGAACGTCGCATAACTTCAGCAACAATGCTTGAGGTGGTATTCAGTTGTTTAATAAAAATTTTATCATGGTGAATTATTAAATCCTTGACTAGACGATATGGATGCCTATCATTAAGATACACTCTTCCCACATTTTTCTCATTTTTCTCGTCATTTTCTTCGATTTTTGGATATAATAAAATATATCCATAAATTTGTGCAAGTGTCGTAATATAGCCATCATCCGCGTCTATCGACGTTATAAGACTAAAAGGGTACATAAATCATTAGCAAAAATATCAGCAAAAATATCAGTTAAAATGATATATATATATATGTTTATAATTACCTATGCAAATGTGATATAAAAACATTTAAAGTTTCATAGTTTCTTTCCGGAAGTGACGTAATAAGGGTTGAAATAGTTGATACACGCATGTTCTCATCCTGTTCCTCAAGACCTGATCATAGAATTCATGATTATTACAAATTGATCATATGCAGTTTTTTTTTCGTAATTATTATGAAATACTAACTTGAATATAACAGCTTAACAGGGTCGTAAAGTTTAAACGTAAGTAGACACTCTGGGAGTTCCATAAAGTACAATTTCAATACTCCAGTAACTACGGCCAAATCATACTCTCGTAATTTCCTTAAAGTAATCTTGGAACCTAATTCAAAAAGCAGAATAAATTGAGATTCCAGAAAAATAATTATATTGAGTTTATATTATTACATATATATGTTCTATGTACCATCGTTAATTTCTTCACGAAGCCCATGGATTGCAGCTAGAGGTACAATCGTTGTCCATAAAAGCTTTTTATCTTTATAATATGAATATTTGTAAGTAAATAACTTGGACCTTGGGATTCAATAATAATAACAATAATAACAATAATAATAAAATATACCTGAAATACTCCACCCGGATGAGCCTACATAATAATATAGTCAAATTTAAATGATTTATTCCTTTTTTTTATATTGGCAGAATTTGGAACCGGTTTTAGCTTTCAGTATTAAAACCGGTTTTAATCGGGCTTTAATCGAGTTTAATCGATTTTAGATAAAATCGGTTCCAAACATTATTATATATATGACTAATTTATTTAATTTACCTTTAACAATACAACTTAGGCATTTGGTAACAATTTGAGGAACTGTTTTTAAATCTTTTTGTGCCTTTTCCGCTAGTGAAACGCCAAAAGTTTGATCTATAAAAATCATTTTATCATTGTTTAAAAATATCTCTCACATTAAGCATCAGGTTGTTAATCCTAAGGATAAAATAAATAAATTACCACTAGCGCTTCCATTATATTGATTAGTATAAAGAACAACCTTAGGGTTAAATGGACCGGTACGATAATGCTGTATAATAATTTGGATATCTTTTTCAGGTTTCAATGCTTCATGATATATCAGTAAACGTTCTGACATTAACTGAGCAGCAGAAACCACGGTGCTGCATGTGGTAGAATAATTCAGAAAAGCTATTTTTCAAGATATAATAAGTCTTTAATGTTATGAATTAAAATAAGATACTAAAAAATATATAATATACCTGTTTTTGAAGATTTTATACGGTCGAATTCACGTCTTTCCATAAGACTCATTTGGTCCATCTATAATTAAAAAAAACAAACGGTAAATATATTAAAAACTCCAACTTTATTTATAACTAATACTAAATAAATAAATTTATGCTGAGAACATACCATAGATTCTTCAAGAAATAACCGAGTTCTGTCTAGTCTATTAAATAAAAAATTACATTATATATAAGAAAAAAAAAACTATAAAGTAGAATACTCCAAAGATTCTAAAAGGTTTCTTAGAAAATCAACCTTCTTACTGCATGTCGATATGCTTCATCGGCTTCATCGGCTTCTTTTCGAGAACGTTTTTCTGAAGGTTGATTAGTTGAAATTGCATATATCAATCCACTCCAACCCATTCCAGCGTTAACTTCCTCAGTATCTTTGAGATTAAATGCTTTACTCTTGAATTGAAAATAAGCAACAGGAGTGCTAACAAAATAATTTCCAATAGCACCAATGTGTTTTAGGAAACCTTGATCAGCCAGTTCTTGACCAATACGTTCAGCATCCTCCCATAAATATGCGTTAATATGATTTTTTGTTAACCATTTTGTAATATCTTCACCGGAATAAGCATCATTGTAAGTACCAAGGATAGGTATTTTAATTTCTTTAGAAGGAATTTCCTCACGCATCTTAGCAAGAAATTGCATTATTTCTTCCTCTGAAAACAATTGTTTCCCAAGTGTGACAGTTAATGGTTGGTCTTGCTGCACATCTTTTTCTGATATTGATAAAGTATCTGTTTCATGAGTCGAAATTTCTTCAGCTTCATCAGCCAATTGACACTTTGTTATATAATTAGTCCTTGATTTTTCTACTTCGTTAACCATTTTATCAAACAATTTTAAATAACCCGTTATTTCTTCTCTACTTGCTCTAAGATTTTTACTATAATCATCACTCTGCTTGATAAAAGGTTTAAGCACCAAATCTGACAAATTATTTGCCATTTGTAAATGGGCTTGCCCTAATTGGTCACATTCTTGTTTTACAATTTCAAATGAACGTCGTAAAGAAGCCCCATCATCACGTAGAAAACCATTCGGTCGACTATTTATTTGAGAAAGATCACACAATTTTTTGCCATATAATTCTTCTACCGCTATCCTTTCCTATATAAATTATTTAATAATTAAATTTTTAGTGATTATAATGATAAATAAATGTGAATATATATATATATACATATATATATATAATATTCTGTTATAGAAATAATACTAACCTTAAGAAATTCTATGATTTCTTCGTTTTCTACACTACCTTGATCTAATTTATCATATAGAATATTAATTCCCTTATGATAATTTCCAGCTGTCCAAAACGAATTTTCAAATTTTAACTGAACGACCATTTGAGATAGTATTTATAAGATTCTTATATTACTGCGGGCATCCAAGGTTAGCACAAATCAATTGTGCAAAAGTTTAATAAATGAATAGAAGTCTGAATACTCAAGGTATATGCTTAAAAATTGTTGAAAAATCGTCAAGTTTGATCGTCAATAATTTAATGTAATATATGCTTTGCAAATGATACCTTGTCGTTTTTTTTTACTTGATCGTGAATATTCAAATACAGTTTTATGGAATGAGAAAAGGATATTATAAGTTGGAATATTGATCAAAAAGAACGTATAAATGTAATATATAGAATTGAAATGCGTATTTTAGAACATAAGATTTATTTATATTAAAAGAATTTAACATGACCTTTAAAAGGAAAACCCGTAAAAAGCCAAGCTCCCCATCTACATTGTACGACACATGTACTTAGTGATCTTTTCCATAATTAATATTTTTTTAGTACAGTACATAATATTGAAAGTTTACTGTTGTGTTTTTTTTACCGTCCTATTTTGTGCTATAAAACTTGGCAAATGTTACACGAATAAATTAAATCCTGTTTGCTAACAAGTGTTTACAGTTCTCAATCACAAAATACTGATATTTTATTAATAAAGCACCAATAATTTCAATGAATTTGATTTTTTTTTTATTAGCCTAGTCAATTGCCCTTTCCCCTCGAATTACTGAATTACGAAAAAAATGCCGAGTCATGTGATCAAAATCACACACTCAACAATTCAGGTTAAATAACCTGTCTTTAAATAGTTTATCTCACTCTAAAGGAATATGACCCAGAGATTTCATCACAATCTCGTGATTTTTATTTATCTTTATTTTTGTCGTAAAATTGTAATCTATTCTTAATTTGCTTAGATCCATTGTTAAGAGTTAAAGATTTTTAATATAATTAGATTAATTAATACTGTAATAACAAAACCTGAACGGGTCAGGTAAAGCCCTGGCTTATTTTAATTTACTAATTCGTATTTATGTATAGCTTAGATAATATATAATATTGTCACATGGCTCCGGCAAGTTTAGAGGTTTCGGATGGATAAGGATGACCCGTCAGCAAAATGCTGTTTTATTAGGCTTTGTGACAATGTCCAACCTTTAGGCTCTGGATACATGGCTCGAATATTCAAACACTAAAAGAGGTTCATCATTATAAAGTTTAAATAGAGTTTTATAATGATGTCATTAGATACAATTGTAATTATTTCCGTTTGTCATGATCAAAAAGCATTGTGTATATGTTTATTTCGCCTTATTAAGAATTAGCTATATTGATTCATGATTCTTATTCTGGTTACTTCAAATTTGTAAATGCATAAGAAATTTCTTTTCCTTCCTTGTATTGCCATTAATGAATTCAACTGTGATCAGGTTAAGCTCAGCTCATAGATTTGCATATTAAAAGAATTCGTAATATCATGATTGGCCTTGCACACTCATGCCACTATTTTTACTATTCGTACCCTCTCTATGCGTATGTAAGTAGGGGGTACGAATACATAGTATAATGAGAGGTATAAATAGCGATCTCCTTTTTATATACTTGAAATTGATTATTTACCAACTACCTAACTCCGTCTTAGCCGAAGTTCAAATAGGTTGTGTAATACGTACGTAGCTAATTATTAATTTCAAACATATAAAGCAAATCAAAATTCGTTGTTAGTGTTAAAAAAAGCTTACTAAATAGTACAATATAAAAACTATTAATATTTTAAATTAATAATGCGTATTAACAAAGCATATAAACGAAAGATTGTTTAATTTTTTTTAAAAAAGTTATATATGTATTAGCAAATTGTTACTATATATATAGCAAACTTTAACAAAGACACATTAAAAAGTTAATAGATTTTTAGTTGAACTATATTTTTTGTTGAAAACTTCTTCTTATTTAAAAAAGTAGTCTTTTAAGAAATAAAAATTATTTGTATTTTAATTATTCATTATAACTAATTACGTATTAAATAAAGAAGAGTACTAAATCATACATCATATACTTTGCTATAAAGTTTAGAGTTAGGGTGTAGTTATAGAGTCAGATATAAGGTCAAACTTTGGTTAGCATAAGATTTTTGAAGGTTCTGACCATTTTTATTTAATACATATAGTTTATTATGCTTTAAGTTTTATATAGTATAGCTATAAAATATTAACAGTATAAATCTATTTACCATTTATTTTAATAATTTTATAATTATAATAACTTGTTTTGCAACTTTGATTAAAGGCTAAAAAAGTTTTTTTTTTATGTTATAACTGTATAAGTTTAAATTATACGTAATATATTTATATGGATGATGTTGAAATCGGATGATGCTGAAATTTGTATTTATTTCATGTACAAGCTATTAGAGTTGGCTTATATTTTCAAATTGAGCCTCCAAATTTCAGCCTCATCCGTATTCGGCATTATCCGCGACAAAAAAAATATTTTTGTAAAAAAAGTTTTTTTTAAAAAAAAATGAATACAAAAGCATAATATATGACGAATTATTTATTCATATAAAAGATTGATTATTTCAAAAATATGTCAGATAGAGATTAACAAAAGGTCTTATCTAGAGACTTTTTCATTCATACATTGTTCTATTACACGCAAACGAATGCATCATTTGCCAACCTTAATTATCTATATGGTATGTTGCTGTTAAATCATACCCTACATATTTGAACTCAATAAACTCAAATTATGTACGTATAAATTTAATAATATAGCAGATTTTGAAACTTTTTTCTGTAGCGTTTCATAAAGATAGTTCTATTTGGAGATAGTAAGAGGAGGAAAGGTATTCAAATGTGAAAGTATGATAAATAGCGTTTGAAGAATTTTTAATCGTGCAGAAGTCATTGTAGTAATAGTGGCATATTGAATTTATTATATGAATACTATCTCTACAAGCTTGTTAAGTCTTTATTTGAGGTCTTGATTTGTCAAACTAATCCATAAATTATGAAACTTGCTCTAAATGTGAATTTCAAGTCTGAGAGAGGATGTGCATATAGATTTCACGTGCTGAACTGTTACAACAATAAATTTTCGGATCTATTATATATAATGATAGGGATGTTAAAAGTTCGGTCCGACGACCCGGACTTTTTTGAGTCGAGTTTAGATTCAAGGGACCAGTCCCAATGATCATTTGCACAGTCAGGTGTTATATATGCAGAAATATGTAATAGTCATTGGCATTGCATAATCTCAGAGATTGTCTTCGCGGATATAATTTCTGCTTTGAATATCATTGGTGGCATTACATGTTGTGACCAAATGTCACATGAAATACGTAGTGAGTTCGATCCCAAGTCTGACTCAGGACCGAGTCCAAATTAAAACTCGACTTCTGGAGTCGAGTCGGACCGAACTTTTAACAATTCCTTTATATAATGTTAATTATTCTTTAAAATAAACGGTAATCCAAAAGACAATAACATTGAATTTGTCACGACACCAAGAACTTCTTGTATATTGTGCGAATAAACGTTATAGCTGTTCTACGCATGTACGTCTTGATTCAATACTAGTATATGACTCATCATATTGTTTCAGTTTTAAAGTATTATTTTATATAAATTATTTAATAAATATATATATATATATATTTTATTAAAAAAATAGTCAAAATAAACTATATATTCATTAAAAATATAATGAAATAAAATGTATATCTGAGAATATAATGAAAAGTATTGTACATATTTAATATTAGTATATAAAAACAGTTACACAAAAGCTTTAATCAATATTGGATTTCATGTTATTAACAATAATACATTATAGAAGATAGTGATTTTAGTGTAATGATTGGGTTGTCATTCTTCAAGCAGTAGGTTCAGAGTTCAAATCTCACTGGTGGTAAAAATTTAAAAAATTTTCCTAGTCTGGCAACTTGTATAGGGTATTAAAGATTATAATCCTGTAATTCTGGTTGTACTAAGATTAACTTTGAAAGTGTACAATGTTACATAAATAAATCCAGAAAGTATATACTCTATAAGAAGTTTTGTTTGGAAATTCTAAGTAGAAAGGTAGTACAATCTTCAATAATACCATTTATGAAAATCTTGATTTAGAGACAAAAATCTGAAGCAGGTAATTTGTATGAACAAAAATTCTAGGTAAAGGAGTTCACCAACTTAGTTACTAGTTAAATCAGATATAAAGTTACATTATACAAAACTAACTAGATTGGTAATATAGGAAAACTTGCAAGGACATACAAGATACTGATAAAGTTATAAAAAGAAGTACTGAAGTTGTATAAACTCTACAAGGATGTAGTGATTTATAGATTATCCTAACTGCAAGTATTGGTTTTAGTTATAGTAATACCAAGTTAGCTGAAAATTAGATAACAGAAGGTTTCAATAGGTTTAGTACAAGATTAAAGATTTTTTATATAATTAAACCATTTTAAAAACCTAGTAATCATGATATATTTGTATTAATAAAAACTGAGACAGTTAGTAAGATAGATAAATGGATAGATACAGAAACCAGAATGTTTAAATAAAGAACTTACAAGTAAATTTTAAGTATGGTAGCTAATATAGAACCTTCAGGCAAACTACTTAAATTAGATAATGACTAAAGTTGTATGAGTGACTAGTTGTATACTCTTTCTATAATTGCCTTCTATGACTGTTGTAATACAATCATGAAGCTGAAACATATTATCAATAAAAGTCTAAGTTGCAAGTAATTACCTTTAATATTAAAAAAAAAACAATAATATATTATAATTTGGAATATGTAAATAAAATTAACTAATTAGATTTTTTTTGGTATTAAGATGATTTCTTTGGTCTTTTGATTTTATTAATACTTTTTGAATAATATAATTTTATAGAAATTGTTACAAAAAAAGTATACAACTAATTACATATATAACTTTTCTATATTACTTATTTAAAAAATTTATCTAAAGGTTTTCTACCAGTTACTGTATCTAACACCTTTGCTTGAGTGTTTTATTTAAACTTTCTGAACCTATAATCTATATTAATTTTACCAAGTTATTTCAGATCTTTGTCTTAATTTTAAGACTAATTTATCCTTAAGATAAACCTTTTAAAACCTTCTGCATTTCTATTTACAGCTAATCTAAACTTATTATAACTAAACTAATACTTGCAGTTAAGATTAACTATTAAATTATTATATCCTTGTAGAGTTCATATAATTCTAGTACCCACTTATATAATCTTACTAATGTCTTATTTATTCTTGTAAGTTCTTTTATATTGCTAATCTAATAAGCTCTACATAATACAATTTTATGTTCAGAATAATTAGTAGTTAGGTTGATAAACTTTTTTTACTTAGAGTTCTTATCTATACAAGTCATTTGCTTCAAATTTTCTTCTCTAGATCAAAATTTTTACAAGTGATATTGTTGAAGATCATATTTTTTCTCTATTTGGGATTTTTAAAAAGAGCTTAAAAAAACATTATAAAATATATAATAGATATAAAACATCATAAATGAGTTTTATAATAATTAATATTAAAAATAGTTACTAAATTACAATATATAATTTACAATTTATATTCTTTATCTTTAAATAACAGAACATGTAAGACCATCTGATTTGTAATAATATATTAAAAGATTATAAAGATATTTCTTCTAATACTTTAGCATAAGGGTATAACAACTTAGTGAAGTGGATAAGTTGTTAACCTTTCAAGTAGTAGGTTGTGAGTTCAAAACTCATAGATAATGAAAATTTGGATAATCATCTATATAATATTCATATTATGGTAACTGTTTCTAACAATTGGATTAAGATATCTGTAATCATGGTTACATCATCATAACTGCAGGTCATGAGGCATCTGTATAATTAGTTACATAAAAGAATACAAACTGATATCAGACAATACAAACCCAAAATAAATCCTTGTAATCATATAAATCTTAGAAATTAGGAAACAAGAAACCCATTTGGAAAGACCCAAGTAAAAAGATAATACAGATTTTTAACAGTACTACTGTAAAAACTAGACCTAAAAAACAGATACCAATATGAAGTACCCAGATGGGCAAAAACTTCTAGGTGAAGAGTACCATCAACCAAGTCACTGAAAGTCCAACCAGAAGGACTGAAAGAAAAAGATATTGGATCAACCTGATATACCAATGGACTAGTCATAGTTCTATTGGACTATCTGGATTGAAAGTTTGAAGAAAAAACAGGAATATACTAAAAGTGCTAGGAATATGCTGTGAAGTAAGTGCTAAGGTCTGGGTGAATTCTGCAAAAGCAAACCCTGTTAATGTTTCATAAAGTGAGTAAGTAGTTAACAGAGAAACTCCCAGAGCCTTATAATCAGGTGACATGCTCTGAAATTGAGTAATAGCTTGACAGTTGTACAGAAGGGAGGCAAAATATTGGGTTAGATGACACTTAGGTGTACAAGAACTGAGGTAGCTAATTGTCTGGGTACAGTATAGAAACCAGAGTGTTTAATTAGATAGTCTCCTAGTAGATTATAGGTATGGCAACTAGTGTAGAACCCTCGGGCGGACTGCTTAAATAGGTAACCACAAGTTACACATGTGGCTAGTTGTACGCTTATCCTGTACAAGTAATATATAATGTATTTACTAAAAGCACAAATAAAGGCATTAGCCGCCATTAACATCGGCCTTAATTTTTTAAAAAAAAACTTTAGCATATTTAAAACTTGATTCTTGGAGTCTATGTATATTGAATAATTTTTATGATTTTTTTAAGAGTTTGTACATGCTATAACGTTAGGTCAACATAGTTTAATAACTGGATGCGCCAATAGGACTATTAAGGTATGTTAATATTTGTGTATTATAAACATTTTTGAAACATAATATTTTAATTTTAACTACTATATTGTTTGTTTACAGATCTGGAAATAATGCTTTAATAGTAATCTTATTGTTTAATGAATAATGTAACACATTTATTATTAGCCTTTGATGCATTAATCTCTATTTTGCGAGTATCTATTTTAAATAAACTTATTTTATATGTGTCATTTGTATTATTTAGCCCACACTAAATTTGGCATAAGACATTTTTTTAATAAAGTGTTATTTATTTAGGACATTTTAAAATATGAAATTGAGTCAGATAATTTCTTAATTGATTGTCTAGAAGAAAATCAATTTGAGTGAACTATTAATGGAATTTTGGATTGTTTGATTACTAATTGGTTAAATAGGTTTTGTTGTGCGTTTGAAGAGACACATAGCCTTAGGCTTTAAATTACGTTTACATTGTTCTTATATAGATAATTGAACATTAATATATAATTTAACAAGAATCAAGTCTTATTTTAGTAGCCTCTAATCTAGCATAACATTGATTGGAAATATGATCACTAAATTTAGACACAATTGCAGTTTTACATTACTAATCGCTAATTATCTAATCTTAATGCATCTTCAAAATGAAGGCAAATATTTACAAACCGAGTTTATCAGATTTGCATATACCACAGACCTATTATAGTTTCAGATATAGAAATGAAATTTTAAATTAATTTCATAGCTTTTTTTGCGAATCTAATACATAAAATATAAAAAGGTACTTTTATAGTAAACCTTTAAATAATTATCTGTTAATCGCCTTTCAAGATATTAGTTATATTGTTTTTTGTATCATGCCATCATAAATTTTGGGCAAAATTTTTAGCATACAGTCTTATCTACTACGTCAGAAACAATTAATAATATTACTTATTTATTTGTTAAAAACTTAAACAAGACTTATATATGATCAATGATTCTGATTAGTTAAGAATACGTAATATTTTATTGACACAAATTCTTGATTTTCTAAAGTACAGAATAGATGTTAGCACAACCAGTACAAGCATTGATCTCTACAACTACATGATATTTTGATATTTGGTTTCATCTAAGTATATATTTAGCATATTATAATCAACCATATTATTGGTAGATATTAGCACTTTTAAGAATCAGGCAATATAATCTTGTTCAAAGAACTTTATTACGTCTTGTGTGGTTTCTGTATCCAATGAACAATCCAATAATTGAGATTCTGTAGCTACCGATATATTAAAAAAGGTTTGGAATTCTTCCTGTAAGACATAGCAATCTAAAAAATAAAACATATATAGGGATTTTAGCGAATAATTATCTTACACGTTCATTATTTAAGATATATTACATGCCATGCAAATGAAGTTTTTTTGTTCCAGCTGACATTTGAGATACTAAATGAATCCATTTATTTGTATTTGTTAAATTTGTCGGATCATTTACTTCTTGATCCTGAAAGCAGAATAGATTGAGTGAAAATTTTGAAATTTAACTTTGAATTCACTAAAAACTGCACAAATAAAGATCTAATATTACTTTTTCTAGGCCTTGAACATGAAGAGATTTGTTATCATGACATAATCCATCTGAAATTGTGCGCATCAATGACATTGCTTCGGTTGGATTGTGAGTAGGCAAGATGGTGTTTGTAATGTTACACATCAAGAGCCTGTATTAAATAAAATATTAACTTGCAAAATATTTGGTCAGATTGAACCAAATTATCACATTATTACCTTGCTTGAATATCATATAACATTTGAGTATTTTCATTTTCAATATAAATTAGTAAAAACACTTTTTTATGGCGTTGGTTTGCTTTTTTAATTCTTTTAACACGATAAAATATGTAAGATTCTTAAAATTTAACGAATGGAGTTGCAAGATTATCTTAAACTTACCGATTAACCAAATTTTGAATAATATCTTTCTTTTCGTTTTCAGAGTTATAGGAATTCCATTGTTCATTATTAAAACATAAGAACGTTATATTTGGTTTTGGAAATGTTATGTCCTGATACAAACAAATTTTTTTAATGTAAATTGTCGAAATTAAATAGAGAGCAATATATATTTTTAATTTACTCCAGGAGTTGCTTGAGTAGCTTCAATATCTTTATTTAAATATCAAAAATAAGAACTATATATTTTACGTAAAAAAAAAAAAAATCTATATATTTGAAATCAATACCCACATCTTACGCGCCATCCACCATTTTTCATTTCGTCGCCAACTTTTTGCCAATTTCCTACAATTCCTTTATTAAAAAGTGCTACAGGTTGTAAATTATTCTGCATATTCGGTTTTGAAAACGTATGAAAGATAAATCTATATTTTATTATTATAAAAGTATATACGTATATTATATTGTAACCAAATATCTTTATGATAGGCCAATCAATCTGTGACATAATGTAACAAATCATTATCTGTTATGAAAGGTATCTCAGGTGTGTATTTAGTTTTTTTATTATAATAATATTTGTATTTTTATATATATATATATATATAATTTTTTTTTTTTTATCAATCTCTAGATGTCTAATTTAAAGCCAGTTTCTAATTCTATGGCTGTTTTCGAAACGATTGACCCATCGAGTCTAGTGGTTGGGCTTGAATAGTAAGCCACTGAAGAATATAAATCTGATCTCAAAATTTTGTTTTCAATAGTAAAAAAAAATCCAAATCATGATAAAGTAGAAATTAAAAAAATAATCTCAAATTTTTTGTTAAAAATGTCTTAATATTTCATTGGTCGATTTAAAAAAAAAATTAGTCATTTTTGACACTACTGTATTAGATCTTTCAAATTAAATACGGAGACAACTTACTCATGTGAAGCTTCAACTTTATTTAAAGATTCATATCGTTTCTAATAAAAAAATAACTAAGATACTAATTGTAGTTACACAAATTCTTAGTCAATTACTATAATTAGTTTATAAACCCCTGAAAATCTTGAAAATCAAAAAGTCGCGCCAATTTTCACTTCACTACCAAATAAATAATGGCAACTCAACAAAAAGAATTTATTATCTTTAATAATTCAACAGCAAAAAGAAAGTTATATACGAGTTTAAATAATGAACTCGCGAGATTGCAACAAAATATTATGATTATGGAACAAACTCTTGAGGTTACCGTCGACCAACTTGAGAATATTGGAAATTTTGGAATGTCGCATGGTGCCTTGTTAGTAGTATCAAAATAAAAAAATTCTTTTATAATAAAAATATTCTATTAATTAATGAAAAATTTATATAGATTTATGGCTGCAAATCGTGTTTTACGTAATAAGATTCCTGAAAATAGGTCGTAAGGTTTGTATGCACTTTAATATAGGGTTTTATAAACTTGTATTTACGTGATTATTTATTATTCGTAGAGATCACGTAAATTTTATCGTTATTACGTCTTGCGTAGAATTAGTTGCTACATTTTTCTTACTGTTGGATATTATTACTTCATTTGTATGCAAATTTTCTTACATTAATAAATATTTGTATAAAGGGTTGCTTATTTAGGATCATAAGAGTTTTCATAGAATTTATAATTTGCTTTCCCACCATAAAAATTATTAACGCGCGATTTATCATTTATCCTAACTCGACTATTAAGATGATATTTCGTGTTTACACTAATAACAAAACCAAAGAACAACGGTATTAATAATATAAATGGATCCATCAACAATATCATAACAATCAAGAGCGATAACACTACCATCAGAATGACCATAAACGACAAAAGTACGCCAAAATTAGAAATTAAACCAGTATAAAAATTTGGCATTGGGTAATCACATAGCATTCCAAAGAATCTAGATTTCCTTATTTTCTACCAATGTTGTATTATTTCTTTGTTCGTTACCAATACATATTAAGTTTCGGCATGTTGCAAGAAAATTAGGGTTAATCAATTTTGCATAGGCATTTATGCTTTATTATTTGAATCATCTAATGGATTTTCGAGCAAATTTTTGAATAAACAATTTACAATTTACTTATTCTGGATGCCTTTTTTAAAACTCATACAAGAACCAATTAATTAATTAAACATTGTTTTTTTAGAAATACAATGTTAAACTTCAAAAAAGCCATTTTTTAAATTAAGTGTCGTTAACATCTGCTTAAAGTTGTAACTTTTGTAACTTCAGCGCCTGAAGTTAAACCTGCCTAAATTACTAATTTCAGTCAGTATAACTTCAAGCACGACACGTGTCTTTTTACCGTCTTGCTGGTCGCAGTATGCGTATCCTTTACAAATACCTGAAGTACGTCTTGTCCTATGCAACCACGAAGCCATGATTGCCTGCATTAAATTATAATTCTGATCAACTGGTAATTTTGGTAGAAATTTCGTAATGATCTAATTTTAGCTTCAGTCACAATTACTTACGCGATTTTTTTTGAGTGTGACATGATAATCAAACCATTTTTAAATTAACACAGATAACGTTTTTTTTGTTACAGTCAGACCCCCCTAAATGCACCCCCAAGTGCACGTCCTATAAAACACCTCCCTAAATGCATGTCTTCTCTTGGGCCCAACCAGAGTGTCCAGCTATTTCCAGCATATCTAAAATAGCACTAGCGACATCACGAAAACAGCCAAATTAAAATTTTTCTTGTTTTGTGATCGAATTAAAATAGAATAAATCTGGTTGAATTTGTTATCGCTATGTGGTTGTCGTAATATCGTTAGTGCTATTTTAGATGCTAGAAATAGCTGGACACTCTAGGCCCAACTAATGTTACATCTATAGATTTTTACTTCTCTAAATGCAACACCTTTCTAAGTGCACGTTTGACTAAATTTTTATATATGGACCCGTCGCATTGCATTTAGAGAGACTACTGTAGTTTGCTTTTTTTTCATATCGCTTGCCGAAAACCACTCTTAGGAGTGCCTTCCCAACCAATGAGATACACCTCTACGTGGTGGCTGGGACAAGTAGGAGAGACAATTTCCGAAACTAAGTATCTCTGCTTCTTTTATTTAACGTTATATATGGAAGGTTTATATATATATAAATTTTGTTAGACCCTTTTTGGATCGATATTATCATCATATGTATTACGTAGGAGATTTGATATATTTTTAGATTTGAAATTCTGTTAATAAATTTGAATTTTACGTGATTTTCTAAACAGATACAGTATTTAATTTGTAATTGTGTATAAACTTAAATTGATTTGGTCAGTTCTATGTACGTATAATCTTATAAGAAGAGTTAGTCAATTATACAACCCCTTTCATTAAGATATCGTGATTATGACTGTAATTACTTGTTTAACAAATGAAACATAATATTTGGGCAAAAAAATTTTGAAAATAAATTTATAGTTTATAAAGTTCATTTTGCCTTCCACTATTGAGCAATCATGCAATCATTTCTAGAATTGTTCAACACATGGTTTTTTTTTTGATATTATAACTGTCGTCCCAACAGGTCACACTTATTTAACGATTTTGCAGCATACAAGTAGGGATGGCAAACAGTGCACAAAAATCTTACTGTAAAGTACCGGAGATTCTGGTAACTTAAGAAAAACTCCGGCGCAATTTTTTGATAGTCGGAAATTTTCATTTGTTCAGAATTTTACATCATAACTGTTACTATCGTTACTACGGATTCTAGATTCCGTTTACTAAAAAGATCACCAGAAAAATATCAGGACACGTAATGTGCAAATCTTTTTTATTAGGTAATTAAAACAGATGAAGGTTATATAGGGTGCTCTTAAATTAATAGATTGGAGCTCAAATTTTAATTAGTAACAAATAGTTCAGCCAGTCAAGTGGGTTTATCGTCACAACGAAAAAAACTGTAATTCCTTAAATCCAGATTTAACTATTCGGAATTTAGTCACATGTTTTAAATCGATGAAAAAAAGGCTTATCTGTTTTTTTTTGTTTTTTTTTACCATCCCTACATACATCCCACCATTTTCTCCTTTTCATGACTGCCGTCCTGGCAGGTCACATAATCATGCGTTGTTCTAAACGCGGGTAGGGTGATATAAACGAAAGCCTGGTTCTCAGAAAAGACAAAATTGACTATCATCAATTTCCCCTTGCCTACTCATATACTATGATCTATTTTTATCTCATACCCAATTATCATATACTCACATATAGGAAATGGGATTAATCAAGCTTGATCTAATCAAACATATGAATGTAACCGGGCTTGTCACAGGTTCGATCGGTGATGACTGATTCGAGACAAAAGCTACTTCGATACTTAGGTATCAAGCAGCTTTTAATTTTTTTAAAAAAAAAAATGCCGGCATTTTGCTTTAGAATACGATCTAATTTCATGTGTTTTGATTTTTTCTTTCCTATTTAACATCATTATTAACAAATTTATGATACCGATCGAGTTATTACTGTATTAATATGAGTGATGAAAAGGAAATCTTGTAAATTGATTCACTAACTTCCGTCTTCTATAATTCGACCCCTGAAAATTTTGATTTTATGGGATTTGTTCTAGAACATATTTATTATATATATTTTTTAAATAGCCTCTAGATCAAGCAGGTCTTTTGCGATTTTTAGCTGTCCTACCTGGTTTATTGCGTTGAGTGTAACCCGAGTTTGCATAAGGAGAGCTTCTACCTGTGTTGAGAACAAAGTAAAATTTCCAATTAACCTTATAATGGAATTTTTACTTTGTATTCGTAACGCATGAAGAAGCTCTCCTTATGCAAACTCGGGTTACACTCGACGCACCCCTGGCGCGCTAAACAACCGTTAAAAATCGAAAGATACCTGCTTTCGTAAAAGTTGAACATGGGTGCTCGGGTATTTTCATAGCCTGATTTAATTATAGGGGTATTTCGTAAAAGTTGAACATGGGTGCTCGGGTATTTTCATAGCCTGATTTAATTATAGGGGTATACCGTATAGTAGGGACGTTAAATTAAGTTGGATAAGCTTCTGAGTTTTTTAATCATATTATTGGTTTAATGCGATGCGTATATACATTTTAGTATCCATTGGAATTACTCTTGCAATATCTATTTAAATTTCATGTGGTATTAGTGAAGTCGACTTTAAACAACATGTCTCTAACCGACTCGAAAACCGACTAAACCGAGCTGTTTAACATCCCTACCGTATAGAGACAATGTGTTTTATTATGTCTACTTGTTATAAACCATAAAAACGATGCATCACTAAAAATAGAAAATCAAGCAACACAAAACCATCATCTTATATAAAGTTTATCGATAATTATTAGCCCGTTTGGTCTATCCCAAGCACTCATGGTTAAATTGAACATATGCACGCGTTACTTTGAGATGGAGACCAATTTATGCAGAGACTGATTACAAAATAATGTCCATGTGCATTGTATATAAATGATGCAAGAGTAAGGTATATGTGCAAAAAAATCAGGAATAGTTATCTATTTCCTGGTATCATAAAATTCGGGTAGCGACGTCATATGTCACTGCCGTGTGTTATTTGATGCTCTAAAGTCTGCAGCCTTAATCAACAAAAGATCTGTAATTCATAATTGTAATTATAATTTTCGGTAAGTTTCACTTATGTAATTTAATTGTATTAACAATCAGAATTGAACTCAATAAGTTTTGTATGAAATGCGTGGTATTTGGGATGCACATAGGCGTCATTTTGAAACCATGTATACTATTTTTAAAGGGTACAATTTTTGAACTACGCAATTTTCATTTACCTATGATTTCGTAATTTAAGTGTAATTGTCTTCCTTATTATGCTAATAAATAATTACATATGTAAATGTAGAACAATAGATATAGGAATTTTGTAACATTGTGATCGATTATGGTGATAGCCTACTCCTCAATAATTATAAATTATTCGAAATGCTACGTATTGAAACAAGGCTAAAGCGATCTATTGTTCTTAATTCACATTATACATTTAAAAATTTATTTTCTATAATTAAATTTTTGAAGCATATACCCGGTGTGCAACATATTTACAATACTAGATCATTCCGACAGTACAAATCCAAGACCCTTTTTATTATAATAAAATGGTGTTGGATTATAATCATAACATGTACTATCGGAATGATCTGGTATTGTAAAATAATTTTTTTATATGATGCACACTGGGTGAAGGATCAGTCGTGTAACATCGACGTTTCCTCCTGTTCGCCACTATTTCAATAGGGTCATTTTAGCCCCATTTCTTTCAGGACACTAGCAGATGTTTTCTATTAATAGATATAATCTTAGACACTCCATTTAACATACGTGTGTGGATTACGATACAAGTTCCTGACTAATCAAACATGTAACAATATATTATCTAATTGTTTATAGGCTAGCCCCTTTCCTTATAATTTTCTTGGCTCCGAGTCACCGAGTCTTAGTACGTAGCATCTAAAATGATCTAAAATAGTGTTTTATTTTATTATTAGCAAAATAGTTATAGCAACATTATTTGTGTTAATATGCTAAATATGTGATCATTGCTTTTTGTCCTTAAGTTCATTTATGTAAATGAGTAATTATATGCATGCTTTAAAGAAATTATATCGAAAACAAATCTGACCTCATTAATTAATAATAACCAGTTTGTCAATTTTGTTAAATTAACCAGCTATTTTGGCTAACCATTTTTGTTATCATGTTACACATACTCGAAAAATTGAAGTGACGTCACGCGAATGCTCTTTGACTATTTCTCAGGCAACAAAAGTTGTTACTACAGCCGATGGGTTGTATTAAAAACTAATCAATACTTTTATTAAAGAATATAGAATAACCAAAATTTCGAGTAAAAAATTATTAAAAATAATTAAATTTTTGATTCCAATTTTTAAACTTTTTTTTTTTAAAATTATTATCTATAATTTAGAGTGATCTGATGAAACAAAAGACTAGTCGTGTTTTTTTATAGTTATTCTTTAGTAGAAAATCGTAAAGAACGTACAACGCCTTCCATCGCTCGTCTTTTTGCTCGTTCATCTTGATCCATACTAATTACTGTTTGATCTTTTAACCATCTATATAGCAATAAATGTATGTTAATAAATTTCATATATATGCATTATAATAAACAAATATACAATGTATACAAATGTAATTACTTTTCGAATAAATTAACCACGTCTGTTGGTCTGAGATGAGAATATTTTCTGTTTCGCAAAGAAGGATCTAAATACTCTTCTACATTATCTGCCCGAAGCAATGTGACAATCTATAGTAACAGTTATTTAATATCAATAAATCCAATAAAGTTATTAAATTACAAGATGTCAATTTTCATATCAATGTGTTAATTGTACCTGTCTCAATTCTAAAAATGCATCAGCAATATTCGGATCTTCGAGTCCACGTGCAAAATTTTCCAAAAATGTGACATCCAAATCAAAATTCATTATAGCATTAGAGTTAATTCTTTTAACACCTGGGTTCAAAATTAAATCCTACAAATTATTAACAATAAGAATTTAAACTTTCTAATATAATATATTTTGACTTGAAAAACAAAAAATTATTATATGTACACGAATAGAAGTTGCCAAATGACTTAGGGCATCAAAATATATAAAAGTTTTGATCGAAACTGGTAAATTATATAATGTAGAGCTGATAAGAGCGCCAAGAAATCCAACCATATCTATAATGAAATTGGTTAAATTTAAGAACATTCTTTACAATATATACATATATATATGTATTCAAATTATATTAACCTTGAAGAAATGGACTTGGATGCTTTTGACACGATGCAGGTGCCCTAATAATATATTTGTAATATATGATTCAGATATAATTCATAATAAATTATGAGTATTAATTAGCAATAAATTGTAAGGAAAAAAAAACTTATATACCAATCATAATCTGCTAATTCCAAAAAGTCATCGATCTTGGAATTAACTAATTCAAATATACGTTTTTCGGCTTTCTTACGTGTCTCCCTAAACTCATCTATTGCATACAATTTAATATTTCCTCCACGGTGTGAAGACCTTGCAATATATAAGACTATCCGTTATAAAGTTGCATTGAATAAAAGAAATTTCAATGTAATAATGGCGATATACGCGATACCTTTTAGCTTTAAGCAACTTTTCGAGTTCACCACATGCACCTTCAAAATATTCGAGGTTAATTATGATCTGGACAATTTGTGACATATTAGTACTTTGTAATTTTCCACGTAACGCTCCATCCACATGATCGATAAGAAGATGGTCAAGAGTCTTTCGAAAAGGAAAGCAAGTATAAATTAAGTCAGAAGGAATCATATAAGTATTCTGATAAAGTACATTAACAAAAATATAATAAAACTATATTAACCCGTTGGACTATATCATCAACATAACTGTATCTCTTCGAATCGTCCTCTGCAAATTGATAATATTGATTCACAAAATTTTTAATATCCAAACAACAGGAAGGATATGCTTGAGAAAATGGAAGCGTTTTTGGAAATCTAGTTATTGTATAAAATAAGGTGACTATCAAATGTAAATAGTGAAAATTAATATAATCATATCTAAATTTGTTATATACCCTTGACTAATACGATGATTTTCTTTAAACCAACAAGCATCAACCACTGCTTCATACTCTTCACGGAAAGAAACTTGCATTGGCATATAATCATCATCAATGATTGTCTGAAATTCATAAAATATAATAAATATAAGTGGAATCACATATGAAAACAAAACGATCTATGAGACATTACTTGATGAAAATCTACTGAAAACTTGTGTTTCAACATGTCAGAATATTTCTGGAAAACGGTTCTGACTAAATCTATAAAACTATTAATATTATATCCGTAATCCTATCAATAGGTAATCAAATCAATTAGAATGTAATCAAGTATTGAGAAAATATTTATCAGAAACAAATGAATAGATATATACCTCTAATGTCTGAATGAATGTAAATAAGTTAAACTTGATTTGCTTAAATAATTCAGGATCACGACAATCGTCTAAGCTTTCAGCCACAATTTTGACAACTTTTGCTATTACTGTATCCCATAAATGATCTACTTCTGCCCGTGATCGAAAATTTTGTGTTGAATGCACAATAACGTGTTCAATGACAAAGAACCCAACAACATCTTGAAGGAAAGCCTCAAAGCCCTTGTCATTATTCTCTCTTAACGTATAAGATTCTGAAAGAACCAAATTTGCTTGGGCCTAATTTTATAATATTAATTAATTAATTTTAATATGAAAGTTGGCTACGCAAAGGTAATAAAGGTCAGGTATAGATCTATTTACCTTTCTATCTTCTTCATAATTTGATTTGAATTCATTAAGTTTCCCGAGTTCTTCATAAATGTGTAAGCATTGATATAATGGCTTAAAATCTATCTGTACTTCTTTGTTATTTATAATGTTAACTTTTTGAACGAGTAATATTTATTAATGTTAGTAAAATTTAATAAAAGCAATAAAAGCACAGAAGACTAAATGTTAATACACACATTCGTTTTCTTCATTCATTACAATTTCAATCGGAGAACTGACAGGAACGGAACGTAAATCAGGATTCTTAGATACTTTCACTTTCCATCGCTCTTGACGCAATCTCATTTGTTCCATAGCCAATTTACCAACTTGTCGCGTCACTTCCCGAACACTAATACATAAAATAAGCATTAATATTATGTAAATTAAACAATTTTAGACTAAAAATCAATATTTACACACCGAAATAGCCACTCTTTCATCTCTTTAGTGACAGCATCTTTGACACTATTTTGCATGACAGGTATAGATTCATCTATTTGTATAATTAATGTACATAGAACCGAATAAAAATATATATATGATGTTATAGTATTAATAAAATTACTAAAATTTGACATACGCATATGCTTGGCAAATTCATATTGAATAACTTTTCGTAAATGCACAGTCTGTAATTCTTCTAAAGTCTGGACATAATAAAAATAAATTGACATTATCGAAAATAATGAATAATGACTATAAGAATAGTAAAATATGTACTGAATAATAAGACTTTTAAAAATATAACCATACCCTCAAAGCAGAATAATATTTTCGCTCTTCAACTAGATAATTAACTCGATTGGCCATATCAAGAACATTTAAACATAATTGTAAAGTCCCCACTGCTTCATCAATATTTTTCTGAATTTTACGCGTTTGGATAAGTTCTTTTTTCTATAAATAATCAAATGGGTTAAAAGAATGATCTATTTTTTTTAAAAAAAAAATCAAAATTAGATAGAACAAACCTTTGCAGCAACTTTTTTTCCAGATTTTTGAAGATCATAGTTTAAATCAATGATTTTATTTTTCAAATTAACAGTTCCTTGTCTAACTTTTAACAGTTGATCTACGGAATGTACGAATTCCTACAGGTAAGATGTTAAAAAAGAGGTAAAATTTAAAAATAAACCCGTGAGCTAAACATGAAATAAATATTTGCATAGAGGTACCCACACTGCATTTATGATTTCACACCTGATAATTACTATTACACATCCGCTCGATCTCGCCTTCCTTCTTTCTCACAAAAGTAGCTAACTGTTCAAGGAAAGCTTCTTGTCGTTCTGTGTCATAAATGGATTTTATGATCGGACCGAGTTGTTCAATATTTTCATTTTCTGAATTCAACTCAGCAGAAAGAACGAGTGAATGTAATTGTTGTTGAGCATGATCAGACATTTTTAATCTGCCTGAAAATATTACGAAAATATTCGAGTATTTACTCGCCGATAGAAATGATACCTTTCTTTTGATTGGTCGATCATTTGCAGTAACATTTCATATACAGAAATATAAAATTAACGTAGACGTCTCAACGATGCGAGAGAAATGTTTATGTGAATAGGATTAGTTTTAGCACTCATTACATTCATTTCCTTGGAAACTTTTAATGTTAGACTTTAATCAATCGTAAATACATATTTATACGTATAATAACATACAGCAAATTGTTATATATATATTTCGAAAAAAATGTTCCATTGCTCTATTTACCGACACTAATTATAAAACGCACATGTAGTTACTATGCTAAAAAGTAATTAAATTCTTTAAAATAAAGATGATAACGCTTCGCTTGTATATAAGCCCGAAGAATATTGAAAAGAAAACTCTAACTAACCAATCACAAAAAGCTATCCAATATTGCAGAAAGAAAGAGAAATTTAGAAATATCCTAATCGTAATATTTCCAAGTTTCACAAAATTCACTGCGCTATCTTGAATAAATCAAGTTTTTTTTTTAAGATACATTATCCTCCAAACGAACCAAAGTCATGCTTAAACGATGCTGACCCTTGAAATTAAATCCAAAAGAATAATGTCATTCGAATTTTATCGTTATGATGGTTCAAGTCCCAACGTCTGAGTCATAATGACTCGGATACTTTTTTAGTCAAGATCCCTATCTATAATTAAACATTTAAAAAGTTTCGAACCAGTTTATAATTGATCAAACCACATCTTCAGCAGGTTTTTAATTATAATCTTCGGTGCACATAATCACATTGCAACCATCATACTCCCTTGATTTATGTATCAGAAATCACTGAAACATATAACGTAAAAAGCATCCTACATACCTGATACGTAGCAAATTTTGATGTAATTTGACATCTAAGCTTGTTTACCAATTCTTGATTCTTAAATTTCGGTAACAAAATTTGTCTGTAATTATCACACGAATATTTTGCAAATTTCCTGTGGCATTCGTTTACTGAACTTCCTTTAACTAACGCTGATCGCTTTAATTTTGACGCTAAATATTCTTTGAATATCGTTTTTTACCTATTAAAAATTGTCGCGGATGATCGTGAAATCGGATGATGCTGAAATCTGGGGTCTCGATTTTAAAATATAAGCCCTGCTAAAATTCACATATACTTTTTAATTATAAATTCTATCCCTAAATCCTAACATAACTCCAGCATCACCCGATTTCAGCATCATCTGACAAAAATTATCATACCACTTGGATCATAGCATGTAATAAATGCGAATCCAAAGGCTATTGCCAGACCTTTGTTCTAAATTAATAGGTATGCATACAATACCTAATTTATCATATGTTTTACCTTCTGGTAATTTTTTTACTTTTAACTATATTTTTAAAAAGGCAACTTTGCCATCCTTTCTATTTCAATTTTTTGCCTGAATTGGAATACTTTGATAAAATTGTTTTTTGACTTAAATTTCATTTCAAACTTGGATCTTTGTTATTCATTGTCGTAAAATTCATTTGATAAACCTTTTTAGTAATTCTTGCATAAATATCATTTCTGATACCATATAGTGTATCAATAACCTATGTTCTCATAATTTGAATTGTTTACACATTTTCCCCTTAATTATTTGTTGTTAGGTTTGTATACACCTTAATATAATCAATATTTCCTGTTTTCGAATTTAATTCTATGTTATCAAATATTTTACTGTCTAAATTAATGTTACATGATTTTTATGAAATATTCATTTCTTGATATTGAGAACTATGAGTTTGATAGATTTTCAGATTCAGATATTTTTCTATTGCGTGTCTCTTGAACATCAAAAGAATTTATACAGAGAAGCCATAAATTTTTTTGATATGTACTTAGCAATATCATTCCAAAAAGGTGTAAATCTTTGACTTTTTTCTTTTTATCTTGTTAAGACATGAATACTCAAATCATATTTATAAATATTATATTTAAAAAAACGTTACCATTTTATAAAATATTATGAACGCCATGTGCCATGGTTATTAAAGACGAAATTAACTTTGCGAAATTAGATTTAATAACCCCGAGAACAGTTTAGTTATATTTGTATAAACATGACATTAGAAATTAGACGTCCTTCAACAGAAAAGGCTACACATATGAAAAAGGTCCTGTGGTTGACGGGAAGAATCTAATGATAACATCCGTGCAATGAAGACGGCTGTTAAAAGCCCTCTTCTTTCCGTCCAGACTCCATAAATGGATCATTTGCTAGGAAAATCACCATTTGAAAGCAGGTGCCAAACAGTGATTTTCCTAGCAGATAACCAAATAGAAACTTGGATCGGGATAGGTCCTTAAGTTCGTGAATGTGATTTATCTTATAATATCAGATATAACAAGAATATTTTCCTGATTCATTAATCACAAACGATATGTGGTACTTCTCGCATTTGAACATTGCCTGAAACAGGCTTCGAGTTAGTCTCAAAATATTAGACTCGAGGACCGGTTTCGGCAAGCTTTTTAACAGCCACCTAGGCTCGACCGGTTTGTTATGCCCATAACAGAATAGGCTAAATTCCGTTATAACCTATTTTAAGCAGATTTGTTTAATAATAGAAAAAAATGTTGTCATAGAACTGCTCCCTGATTGGTCGCCAGTCAATGCATTATATTAAATCCTTATATGGATTATAATATGAAATCAGTAAATAGATTAGCAAAACTGTCCTCCATACATAATATAACCTTTTTACTATTTGAATCTGTTATAAACCGTTTTAAATTTCCTATTAAAAACAGTACGTATCGGTATTTCAAATTTGGTGCAGACCTGATATGGGTATCCGTTATATAGTGATGTTACCAAAACTATTTGGGACATCCCAAACTATGTGTGATGAATAATATCGCATGAGGTATTTACTTATTGTTATTGCTGAAATCGTGTGATGCTATTCATCACTTAGATACCATTATATCAATAGTTGTTCTAGTCAAACAATTCAGTCTCCCAGAATTTTGACAAAATTTGCCATACTGTTTTCTCAATGTGATTTGCTAGTGATAGAGATGAAAATAACCTTTCAACAATTCTTTCGGAAATTCATTGTGCGAAATGCAGATCCAATCACAGTAACTCTATGAAAAAGATGTCAGGAGCAGGTTTTTTTTGGCTTAAATGAATCTCACGATTTAATAATTTCTATAAACCATAGAAGAAAGCGATTGAGAACTTGACTAAGTTACTTTTGCACAAAATAAAGGGTTTCCTGTCCTATTATATGATGATTATCACTACCAGTGCGAAAAAATCACTGTTCTAAATGTTTTCTAAAAACATAATTTTAGGTTATACTTATGAACTTACCGATACCGATACCGTTACGAACAATTTCTTTCGCACCCAATTATGGTAAAATAATATAATACTGTTACACTAATTTCAAGACATTTAGGTCGCACTAAATATAATTTCTATTCTCACTCTTATTGATATACAGGGATTTGTTTGAAAACACCGAAAAGCAAGAATTAAATGTTTATACGATCTTATGACTTTTTGTAACCTTTTTTTAACTTGCGTGAGGTTTTTTTTTTGAGAAAAATATTTATCAGTTATCTTAGACCTATTCTTGATACTGACTTTCTTGGGTGGTCCTTTTTCCGTTTTACGAGATACTTTATGTTCACATATTATCATAATAAATATGAAAATTCGGGTTTTCTTGCCCTATAAGTTCGTAATAATCGTTTTATATACTTTTTTAATATTATTTGTGAGCATTGGGGTTTTTAGTCAGAACTGTGGGATAAATCAATCGCCGCCGCCGCCACAACCAAGTACGATTGTTGGATATTATCCGGCTTATAAATATGATTTGAAAGCAGATGATTTTAATATTAGTTCGTCAATTACTCATTTAAACTATATTGGTATGTATAATTCAATGACTTTTAATTATTATAATTGATTAAATTTAACAAATGTTATTTGGTTTTAATTCTCGTAGCATTTGGCCCAAATGATCTTATTAATGACACCAGGCCAAATACTGTGTTTCAGAATCAAATAAAAAAATTTAAAGAATTGCAAAATTATAAAGATAAAAATAGTAATCTGAATTATAAAGTAAATAAATATATTTCAAAAGACTTATTCAAATAATAACTTATCATGATGACTAATTGACTATTTTATAGTTAATTCTTTCAGTATTGTTACCTGTTAATGATGAATTAATGAAGCTCCCACCGTTTTATAATGTTTCAACCGGGCAGTATGATCAAACTAATCAGGATATTCGCAATTTCATAGAAGATTTAACTAGTGTTGTTAGAGATTACTTTGATGGGGTAAGTATAACTTTTTGTTTTATGTTATTCAATAAATATTAACTGATTATATACTATAATTAACTTGCAGATTGACATTGATTATCCTAATAAAGCTTCATGCTTGCAAGCAAAACAATTCAATTCCAGTTCTCTAAAACAAGTTTTCGAACCATTCATAAGTGATATATCAAGCCAATTAAAACAGAAAAATAGCAGTAAAATTTTGACGATTACTGGAGGCATTAATTCCATACATGTTGACCCTAGCGTCATTAGTTTTGTAAATCTTCAGGTAAGATTAACATTTTTTAAAAAGTGAAGTCATTAATATTTATTTATTTATTTATAAAACTTTAGGCATATCGACTTAACATTTACTATAATGCACACTCTAGTGCTGGAATAGATGTACTTCAGAATATTATTGATTCCTGGAATTTTGGTAACAGATCACAATGCGTTTTGGGAATTGAATTTGGCGGCATTATTGAAGCTATTACTGTTAATAATCCTAATATGGATATCGCTAATCAAAACTTTGAAGTGGTACATTCTCAAAATATTACGTTCCCATCTATAGCCATTGACGAAAACATTACAGATCCATGTGGAACTACGTCATTTGCACATTTGACATGGAAAAATTTCTTAGCACCGCTTTGTTATACAAATAATAGTAAAAATTGGAACTATAACTTTGATAATAAATCCAAACAACCATATATTTATCAACTGCGTCAGAATCCGCCAGTGAATCAGATGGGGAGTAAGGCAGAGAATTTTCCGGGGTCCCCACCAACTTACTATTATATCTCTTATGAGGACTACCAGTCTTTATATGTCAAACTCAACTTTGTACAAAATTATAACATAGGAGGTGTTGCAATTGCTGATATCACAAAAGATTCACAATTTATAAACTACATTTCGGGAAATAAATCAAATGATCAAGGCAATTTTGCACCTCTGTCCAATATAAATGCAAAGATAGGTGCAATAGTGGGTGGTGTAATAAGTTCTCTTGTTTTTATCGGCGGATTAGCGGCTGCTGGCTTTATACTATATCGAAGAAGACACAAAACAAAAAATATTGAAACAACTGTTGTAACATCTGTTGTGGCAATGTTTGATTATGTGGGAAAAGAAGAAAATGATTTGAGCTTTAAAGCAGGTGATGTTATTGAAGTACTTGAGAAAGGAGATGGGCCTAATGATTGGTGGGTGGGTAGATTGCATGGTGTTATAGGTGAATTTCCTGGTGAGTAGGTTTATCTGTCTAATCTTTCCTTACATCTGCTAAGGAGTTTTATATTTCGAGGTCAAAGGAACATAAAATCAAGTGATGAATAGCACTTTATATCGTTTTCATTTTTATTAACGAAATTAATTTGATTTTTTCTCAGGTAACTACGTAAAGGAAGTAAGGACGTAATTTTTACCGATAGCACAAATTTCTTTGAATATAAATATTACATTTTAGAAATATTTATGTATTATAAATTCTATTTAGTGTCTAACATAGTATTCATTGTATGTCAGAAATTTAGAGAATGAGTTTTAGTTCAAGTAGACATGGCTCCTGTAACCTAATCTGTATATTATAATAGTGACGCAGCTAAAACTCTAAATTTTAGCACATTGACCCAAAATTTAGGATTGGAACTCATCTGAACTAGGCCGGCATCAAGCAATAGTACTAATTAACTATTCAATATAGCAAATATAGGCTATCGATGTAGTATTATACTCCGGAAGTATAACCACTCCATACCGGTGCGATTATATATCACACCACTCCAGATTATGTAAAAGGCAATAACCTAATACGTATTACTTGAATTAAAAATATAAGAATTTTTTGCTAATTTTTTAAAAATGAAATCTGCTAAGTTTGACATATGGGGTGTTTCATATTAAAAAGGCCCATTTTGCAAATTTTTTTTAAAAAATGAGTTTTTATTAGATTCATGTAAATTTTGACATGACAGACATTTTCAATTATAAATGAAAGGCGATTTTGCATAATAAAAAAGGGATGATGTAAAAGAAAAATTACACGAGACTGTCTAAGACCAAGCACATCTCGATAGTCACCTGTTATAATATGATGTGTTAGATTTTTTGGCCAATGAAATTGCTCAAATAGGATAAAAAACTAAGGTTTGAACCCGGTTTATTTTGCATAAGTTAAACCCGTTTAATCAATTTTAGCATATTAAAAATCAAACCGGTTCCAAACTCTACATAGAACAGTACTTTAAATAATTTTTTTAAACAGTCTATGTACATATATATGTTAATTACAAGATAAAAACCCTAAATAAATACATATTTAAAAAAGTTTTTAAGTTACTTATAAGCTACAAATAGACAAATTTAAAAATAAATTCAATCAAGAAAATTATTCATTAATTTTTAATAAATTCTTTAAATATTAATTTTAACTTATAGTTTTTAATACAAGATTGTAGCTTATACGTATAAAGGATGTTAACTTTTATTAATATAACTTTTTAATTTACTTGTAAAAATTTAAACTTGTTTTAAAAATAAAAAGTTTTTTTAGTTTTAAAAAAATATATAAAATCTTAAAAAGGTTAAAAAAATTTTTTATAATAAAAATTTTTAATAAAATTTTTAAATTTTTATTATTTAAAAGTTTTTTATTAATTTTAAAAAAAATTCTAATAAAATTTACAAAATATATTTTTAGTAAAATATTTTATTTTATTTTTTTAAATTAAAGTTTTCGCTTTTAGAAAATAATATTTTTATTCAAGTTAATATCTAATTTAAGTAGTTTGTCTATATATTACTATACAAGTTTTATATTAGATATTATATTTGCAAGTCAACTTTTTTTTTTTTTTTAACTCTTTGGCAGCCTTGCCAAAATCCTTTATTAAGAGAATTGCATACATGATTATACAAATATTAGCTTAATTTTTAGGTTTGACATTTCTTGACTACTGTATTAGTGCCCAAAGGCAACCTGTCACACTAAAGTAAGTTAACACTCACTACTAGAGAGCTATTCAGACTAGCCTTTGAGGTCATTCCAATAAGGTTTCTTGTTATTATTAATTAATTTCCTAACTGTATTCTTCTATATATTTTCTATGTTTTCACTTTCTGTTTCCTTTTCTTTCTTTATATCTTTTATTATTTTTTTAAGTTTTCATCTGTTGATCTTGATAACACTTTGTGTAATACTTTGTTTTGTTGTTCTACTGCTTTTTTTTTACTTCTTTTCTTTTTTGTACTAATTCCTTAGCTTTTTTTCTATTCAGATACTTTATTACATCTTTCTTTCCAAATTTTTTCATAAAACTCATTCCATATGGTATCTATTATACTCATTAGAAAATTTCTTGTTTCTTGTACTAAGGTCAAGATATTCTATATTCTCTCTACTAACTTTTCTTGTAGAAGACCTTTAATAAGTTTTTTCCTTACTTCAACACTTTTTTCTTCTTTTTGGCCCCATATTGCTTCTTTTAACTGTATTTAAGTAATACTTTTTTTTTTTTTTTCTGAAAGTGTGCTTTATGCAATTGTTATTGTCAGTGTTTCTGCCTTTGTCCAATAGTTTTTATAAAAGGAGCATGTTGTTAAATGGTCCTGATCTTCTTCTTTTCCTTTTTTGTAAACTATACAATTTGCATCAGTATACAAGTCTGATCATCTTAATACTAATTTTTTAAGTATATGCATTTTTTCTTGTATATATTTAAAGAGTGTACTTAGTCTTTTACTTCTTACAATTGAGATACATTTTGTTTTATTCTGATTCTTAATCTTTTTTCATAATAGTACCTAGCAATGTTCAGTTTTTTTTCTATTTGGTTTTAGTTTTTTAACCACTGATGCACAGCTTCAATCTGCATTGTTTCTGATATTAAGAACTTCTTTTTTTTTTTTATCTATCCCAGGTGAAGCACCATGGGGCGCGTGTGGCGCTCTTTATTATTAAATTTATTTACAGAATTATTATTTACACATTAGGGGTTCTAAACTAAATATTTATAGATTCTCTTATAAATTGGTTTGACT